ATTACACTCTGGTAGGAACAAGCACACCCAACACCCAGAGCCTGCCTTCTAATACCACTCTCCAATAAAATCAATCAGGACTCCTTGGAGAAATGACTGATTATAGGACTGGAGCAGAGAATATGCAAGATGAACCCGGAAGCATCTTACACTGACAAGAGAGTAACCCAAAACACACACACAATGACTGGGTATGTCACAAAGAAGGGACAAGTGGCCAAAGATAGAACAATCTGAACAACAAAATTTTTGTAGAAGCTAGGGATGGTGGTGCATATCTAGGAGGCTGAGGCAGGAGGATCTTAAATTCAAGGCCAGCCTCAGTAACTTACCAAGACCCTGTCTCAAAATACAAAATAAAAAGAACAGAGGATGTAGTTCAGTGGCAGAGCAATCTGAGTTCAATCTCTGGTACTGGGGGTAAGGAAAGAGGGACCCACGGTGCCAAGGGAAGTCTGGGAAACTTTCACAACCAAGAGGAATTAAAGAAATATGACTGCAAAAATGTAATCTGGATGGGATGGGATCCTAGAATGGAAAAAGGACATTAGGAAAAAACTAGAAATATGAATATAAAGCATGGACTTAGTAATAATGCATCAATATTGGTTCATTGTGATAAATGAACCACATTGATATGTTTTTAAAAAGGGGGAAACTGGGTGCAAGGTAGACAGGAATTCTCACTGGTAATCTTCATAACATTTCTGTAAATCTAACACTGTTCTAAAAACATTTGTTCTTAATGTTTATTTTTTAAAATGAAATACTCATGATGGGCTATATACTTATAATTTCACTTAGTGCACCTAGGACACAAATGATGCTAAAATATGATCTCTGCTTTGCAGTCTCACTGTGAGTAGATAGATACTCATGAAAGATACAGAAATAAGAAAATAGTAAATGAGAAGTATAGTTAAAAGCATATTAGAAACACAGAGGAGGAAAAGAGTTGTGAAGGAAGGTTTCAAGGAAGAAAGAAAACTTGAGTTTGTACCTTAAAATGTACTGCAGGGTACCAAAGTAAAAAAAAAAAAAGATAAACAGGTACACTCCTAAGGACAACCAGAAGGGAGATAAGAAAAAGTTAAAAGAGGTTTAATTTAAAAATTTAGCCCGGAAAAATAAAGCCTTAAATGAGGGACATAATAGCAGTGTTCAAATACTTTAAGGGTCACATGGCTAAAAAATGGTTACATCATATACCCATTTAACTTACAAGCTGACCTCTGGTGAAATGTGCCCACATTCAAGGACAAAGAAAGTGACAGCTGTTCATTATAGCCACAACAGGAAATGCCAATATGGAAAGATAGGAAGCAGGTGGCCAAGTTCTTCTCCACAACTTTTCAAAGGATGGTGCATATGTGAACCCAATAAAGCAAAAATCTAGATTCAAATCCTGCAAACAGGCCTAGCACACTGTATGTGCCACATCCTTTCCTATATATTAGCTTGTTTAAGATTCACAGTACATCTATAAACATTAATGTAGTAAAGGTTTCATGTAAAAAGAGAATTCGATGCTGCATGGAAGCAGGAACATATTAGAATTCTTCTCTATCCCCCACTCTCTGAAGAGCAAATAGTTTGTAGGCCTAGATATCTACGTAACTAATTCCCCTTCTTCCTTCCTTTGGTAGAGTGTAGTGTCTCTCCCTCAGGCTTTAGTGTGCATAAAAACTATACAGGAGCTGGGTGCAGTGGTGCAGGGCTGTAATCCCAGCAACTTGGGAGGCTGAGACAGGAGGATCACAGCTTCAAGGGGAGCCTCAGAAACTCAGTGAGACTCTATGCAACTTCACAAGACTCTTAGTTAAAATAACAAGAATGGGGGATATAGTTCAGTGGGTTCAATCTCTAGTACCAAACAAAACCACAAAAAACAAACAAAACAAAGTAAACGCTTTATACAGTTATAAACACAAAAACACGCACACTATTTGAGCAATTTAAGAAATTTTCAAGTACAGTTTTCACCTTAAGTGATTTTTGCCTTGCCCCATGCACTAATTTGAGGACCTAATCCTGGAATGAAGCACCACTCCACTGCAGGTTTACTTGAGACAAGAAAGTCAAATCCTACAAGAAAAATATTCTAACAATTAAGTCTAAAATGAATTTTCTGTCATAAAAGGTGTTCAGAGACTGAAAAATCACAAAGAACATTTTAGGAAAGAAGAACTGGGTGAGAAGATCTCTTTCAAGTCTTGAATTCTAGAAAAGGGTAGAATTTAAAATCCAATAAGAGGCAAGCAACAAAATAAAAGGCAAGAATGACTGTTACGTGGGGGGGAAGCTCAATACTCGGGAACACAGGAACTCATTTCTACAGGTAGAGAAGCTCTTCCATCTTTCAGAGGACCACTCACACCCCTCTGCCTATGAGGCCTCCCTCACTTAGCAACCCTTCCCCACCCCACCCCCAGTCACTCACCAGTCACACAGGCTTATTTAATTTCCTTCATAGCTTCTATCAGGGGTCAGTAAACTTTTTCTATAAAAGGCCAGACTTACATGCAGGCCAAATCAGCTTGTTCCATGTGTTTGAATGGCCTGTAAGCTAAGAATAGTTTTACATATTTAAGAGGTTGGGGGAGATTGTTTAAATGAATATTTCATGATGTGAAAATTACATGAAATTCAAATTTTGTTGTCCAAATTTAATTGGAAAATAGGCATGCTAATTTTTCTACTGTCTAGGCTGCCTCTGCACTCAAAGTTGAACAGCTGCAACAGAAGTTGTATGGTCCACCAAGCCTAAAATATTTACTTTTTTGACTTTATAAAAGTACTGGTTGCTGCGTATATTATTATCTGAGGTGGTCTTCTCTATTTGCTTTTCTATTCCTCATTCTCTCAGAGACATAGAATAAAGCACAGTGAGGGCAGAGACCCTTGTCTGTTTTGTTCCCATCCTGAAGCTCGATTCTTAGAAAAAAATTCTGGAACAAAGTAAGGATTCAATAAATATTTGATGAAAAAAATTAATAAATGGCTTATGGACCTGAGAAGTTGAAACTTCTACCAAGCCAAAGGAATAATGTGTCACCACATATTATATGAAGTCTTCAATCATCATAGGTTTTAGGCTGTGAACAAACTCTTAAATAAAATGGGAAATATCCTAGTAGAGAGAGAAATAAAGTAATAATGTTGGTCACTAGCTAGTCCAGGACACTGGGATTCTTCAGGAAATTGTAGACTACAAAGTTGCTCACGAAAGGTCCTCTGAATTAGTGCAAGGTGCCAAACCATTGTCAGCTGACTGGGCTCCTGTTTATCTTAAGATGCAAAAACTTAAGAAATCACATCTCCTAAACATAGTACAGAGCATCAACACCATGCCACATCTTAATAAATGCTCATAATTATAGCAGATCCAGATCACACTTGCTAATGAATTTCTGATATCTAAATTTTTCCTATGCTGCTGATCAGCATCTATTCTGTAAGCAGTTGAAAACTCTTTAGAAAATTAAAAGGTTACCGCCCACAGACCAGAAGCAGCTTTTTAATCTTTCTATACTAGCCAGAGAGTGGGTGTGTGATTTCAAAAAAAAAAAAAAAAAAAAAAATACAAGCCAACTCTGTTGGTGCAGGACCAGGTACTGTTGAGTTCAAATCCCACCTATAAGCATTGTTTGTTATGTGACACTAGTACAACTACCACCTACTCACAATTTGAGTCTCAATCTTCTGATCTATACAAATGGAGGAAAGAAAAAATGTACCCACCTCCTGGAGGAATTTTATGTCATTAACATTTTTCACAAGATTCTTTCCTTCAGGCTTTGGGATAATTACTAATCACAGGTCCTTCAAAAAGATAAGGGTTTGGCTTGAGCAATCACTTCCAAAAATTTAAGAGAATGTACCTATTAAAGTCTGTACAAATCCAACTTTTTTTAAAGTAGCCTACTGTTTTTTCAAGACCTGGAATGGTTTAGCTTTTTTTTTTTTTTTAACAGTAAGCTAAAAAAAAAAAAAATCATAAAGACGCTTAGGGCACAGGTACCTCTGAAGAGTAAGTCAGACTTCTAGAATCACTTTGGATGGGAGGCCAGGGTCCACTTCTCTAACAAGTCAGGATGGAAGCAGCCTGCAAGCACAAGCTAGGATCTACCAAGCCTCAGGCAGAAGGTGTCACCAAAGCAAAAGAGAATTGGCCAAATGGCTCAAGTGGCCAAATGCCTCTAGAGGAACTTGGCCACAGAACCACATGGGGGATCCTCAGCATCCACGCTGTTCAGGGATGAACCCAACCAGCCCCTGGGCCACCAGCACACACACCTTCCCTTAGGCTGCAGAAGCAGGGATCTGCAAGCCACAGAGGCATCTCTGGCCTTTAGGGGGGGAGGTGGGACTCACTTCTTCGCCCCCTCCCCTCTTTCGAAAAAAGGGGTTCACAAAGGGCACCCTGGGGCCAAACCCAACCAGCCGGGACCCACACCCCACCTCGCACCACCCCGTGCTCCCCAGGACGACGGGCTCCCTCCTCCCCGACAAAACAAGTTCCAAATCAAAACAAAAGGCACACAACTGGTTTCAGGTGGCAACGGCCTGAGCCCTGGTGGCCAACTTCTGGGGACCCAGGCGACCCACGGCTCAGACCCCCGCACCCCACGGGAGCCGGCTCCCGACCGCTCCGTCCTCGGGCCTCGGCCCCAGTCCTCTCGGCCCCTGCCTCACCTCAGCCCCGGGGCTCAGGAAGGGGGTGCGGTGAGGGGTGGGCGAGGGAGCCCCGGGGTCGACCTGACAGGACACCGAGCCGGGGACCGAAACCAGGCCCAGGGGTCGAGCCCTAGGCCCGGGGCTTCGGCGCGAACCGGGGCGACCGAGGGTCTGAGCCGCGCCAGGCCGCGAGCGGGACGCCGGGCCCGCAGCGGCGGCGGCGGCGGCACCGGGCCCCGCTCCCGCACCGCACTCTTCCCCCCACACACGGCCGAGGGACCGCCCGTGAGGGGACCGCGGCCGCGACGGGGGCGCTCACTCACCGGCGAGGAGGGGAGGAGCAGCCGGCGTCTCCGCCAGCGCCGTCGCTCGAGCTCAAGCGCCGGCTCCTGCCGCTGCAGCCGCCGCGCCGGGTCCATCCCCCCCAACCACCCCCCTCCCGGCCCTCCCCCCGCGCCGCTGCCGCCGCCGCCGCTGCCGCCTTCACCCCGGCGCGGGAGCGCGAACCGGCGCGAGGGAGCGAGAGCGCGCGCGCCACCGCCACCACCGCCACCGCCCACAACCTCCGCCCCCGGCCGACCGCGCCTGCGCAGAGGCGCGCGCACGCCGCGAGGGGGCGGAGCCGAGGGCTATATAAGCCGACGCCCCACCCACCCTGGTCCGCCCACCCACCCTGGTCCGCCCACCCACGCGGTGCCCGGCCGACTCCGCCCGGCGGCCGCAGGTGTGTCGCGGAGCGGTTCCAGGTGAGCGTCTCCCGACCTAAAGCTGCGGGAACCGAGCTCCTGAGGGAGAACCCCATTTCTGGAGAACGACGCCCCTTGAGCAGCGCAGTTTTGCCCGGATTTCTGGGTGACGCTCCGGCTCCCGCGCCTCTGCTCCCTACCTTAGTCGCGAAGGCCTTCCTTCCGCCTAGCGGGCTGCTGGGAAAAGGGCAAAGGCTGTTATTTTACATCAGATATAAGAACTTAACTGCTGAAGAAATCGCAAGCAGCCAGCACCAGCCCGTCCTTTGATTTTTTTATTTGATTTGATTTATCTGTAGGTGTTGCCCAGGATGGAACCCAGTGCCTCCGTGTGCTAGGCAGGTGCTCTGCCCCTGAGCCACAACCCCAGCCCAGACCCTCCTTTTATTATTCCCAGTTTCCCCAATTCATTTTTTTTTTTAGGTCATCACTTAGGTATTGAGGTTTCTTCCATGTTAGAGGAGCTGGGAGTACAGTGTGCGGGTGTCAGGGAGTCCTTGGCCTCCTGAAGTCTTGAGAGCCGATGGAGAAGGAAAACGTGCATGGGGGAATCAGATAAAATTAAATTTGAAATTAGTAATCACTCCTCTGAGAGATCCGTGGTGCTGGAAGAACCTTTATGGGGGAGACTAATTGAGAAGGATGGAGCTACAATCCAAAAGCCTAACAGGATGGGCTAACTTGGTGGGAGGGTGGACAGTATCAACATTGGCAGAAGGGGCGTTGAAAGACCACCCCCCCCCCCAATGTGGAGCAGACTCAGTGTAGGAAGAAGTAAGTGATTTGGGATTTTGAGAGTTTGAGGAACCCTTTGAGGATTTTTCCAGCATGGTCACAGGGAGTGTAACTTGATCGTTACATCTCTTTTTAAATGATTGCTCAGCAGTGTGGGGGTGTTAAATGGTCTCAGAGTTGGGGCAGGGAGGCCAGTTAGCCAGCCACAGGGTGTGTTATCAAAGCAAGAGAGGAGGGCGACAGTAGGGAAGAACTCTATTTAGCAAGTAAAATGGATAGGCTTATGGATGAATGGTGAAGGAGTGAAGGTAGGTAGCAAGATTGACTCCAAGTTGAAGGTCATAGGAGATTCATTTATAGATTCCAGAAGCATCGAAGGACACCCCTGAGAAAAGTGACCCGAAATGATTGATCAATCTAAATGTAAAAGCTAAAACTATTAATTTTTAGAAGAAAACACAGGAAAAAAGATCGACTTCGAGATGGGCAAATTTTTTTTCTAGCAAACAAAAAGCATGAACTGTAAATGAAATGATTGACAGATTGAGCTTTTTCAAAATGAAGTTTTGCTCCTGGAAGAACACTATTAAGAAAATGAATCCAGAGCGTGGCCTGGTGACCCACGCCTGACATCCCAGCTACCTGAGAGGCTAGAAGCAAGAGGACTGCAAATTTGAGGCCAGCCTGGGCAAGTTAGCAACACCTTGTCTCAAATAAACCAGTTAATGAAAGGGCTGGGGATGTAGCTCAATATTAAAACACCCCTGGGACCAATCCTCAGTACTGGTGTGGGGAGTGGCGATGTAGAAGAGAGGAGGACCAGGAAGAGCACATAGATTTTAAACATGGGAAATTTGGGTTGGGGGTCTAGGTCATTGGTACCACACCTCCTTACCATCCCAGCACCAAAAATACATGTGGGGGGGCAGGGCGGGGAGTATGCCCATGCTGTTTTGAAAACATCTAAATTGTTCTGATTTGGGTGAGGCAATATTTAGCCTTCAGACATTTACTAATTAATTTTAAGCATATGAAAACTGGAACATTATTTGGCAAAATTTGGTATCATCAAATTAGAATATTTATGCAGAAAACAAACATCACCAAAAAACGAGTACATTTTGTTACTTGGGTTGATATACAAAGCCCATTATAGTAATTAATAAATGTTAACAGATTCTGTCAAATACTTTGGACTAAAGTAAGAAATGGTAAAATTGCTCTTTATTTTAGATGAAGGTATCTAATGCTTGATGTGAGCCACTTAGCCTCATATCATAATTATGGTTAGAGATAAATATTGCTAAACTCTTTTTTTTTTTTTTAATAGGAAAAGACATTTGGGGCTGGGATTGTGGCTCAGCGGTAGATCGCTCGCCTAGCATGCGCCGGGCCCTGGGTTCGATCCTCAGCACCACATAAAAATAAAGGCATTGTGTCCAACTACAACTAAAAATAATTTAAAAATTTAAAAAACAGGAAAAGATATTCAACAAAGATTTACTGGTTAAAAAAAACGTGAAAAAATGCTCTATGAAATTATCCAAATGATGTTATGTGCATTTTAAATATGTGGCAACATGTCCCACTATTATGTATAACTATAATGCAACAATAAAATTATTTTGTTTAAATAAATCAGGAAGCACTAGAGAAGAATAGCCTTACCTTAGATTAGGTAGAGGGAAGTGAGGGGAGGGGAGGGGATGTGGGGATAGGAAAGATAGTAGAATGAAAAAGACATTATTACTTTATGTATATATGTGACTGCATGACCAAAGTGATTCTACAACGTGTACATTCAGAAAAATGAGAAATTATATCCTATCCATGTATTATCATACAAAGTCCCTATGTGCATTCTACTGTCATGTATAACTAATTAAAACAAATTTAAAAATTAATAAGGGTGCTGGGGTTGTGGTTCAGTGGTAGAGTGGTCACCTAGCATTCGTGAGGCACTGGGTTCAATCCTCAGCACCACGTAAAAATGAAATAAAGATATTGTGTCCATCTACAACTAAAAAAAATAATTAATATTTTTTTAAATAATTTTAAAAATTATTTTGTTTAATGTTCAACATCAAGAATCCCAAGGGAAATGTAATTGAAACTTTAAAGATGGACCAGACTAAGTACTGGCAGGGGTATAGAATTGGAAACTCACATACCCTGCTAGTGGAAAAACAAAAAGGAACAACTGTTTTAATCACAGTTTAGCAGTTTCTCTAAAAATTAAACATTTGGCCAGGCATGAGGGCACACACCTGTAATCTCAGTGACTCCGGAGGCTGAGATAGGAGGTTCACAAGTTGGAGGTCAGCCTTAGCAACTTAACCAGACTCTTAGCAGGTAAAGCACCCCTGGATTCAATCCCCAATACCAAAAAGCCAACGAACAAACAAATTAAACATTCAACTACCCTGTGACTTGGACACTACAGTCTGAATTCTTAACAGGAAAAAGGAAACAATAATAAGAAAAAATATATGCTCAACATGAGCTTTATTTGCAACAAAAACTAACACAAATGTTCAAAATCTGATGAATGAATAAATAGTGGTATGTCCACAGGATAGAATACATTTAGCAATAAAAAGAATGATATACTTACATAAACTTCGTTGATTAATCTCAAAATAATTACAGAGCATGAAGAAAACCAGAAAAAAAAGGAAACATTTTAAGGATTCTAATCATACAAAATTATATAAAGCACAAAACATCTATTGTAAAGAAAAATGAATGTATAATCTCTCTTCTGGGAAGAGAGATTATAAAGCATGGTGGGACATCCTTCTCATCCCAGTTTGTGAGGCCAGGAAGAGCACTCGAAGCTAGCCTCAGCAACTTAGCAAGGCCCTAAGTAATTTAGTGAGACCCTGTCTCAAAAATAAAAAGGACTGAGGATGTGGCTCAGTGGTTAGTGCCCCTGGTACAAAAAAGAAAAAAAAAACTTGTTAAGCATGAGATGAGAAAATTGAATTGGAACTATCATGCCAGCAAAAATTCAATTACAAAGAGTATGCAGTCCTCTTTGTTATGACAATATTAATAAAGGATACAGATTGTAAAATACCAGCCAAAATTCGACTTTCAAATCTCTCAGTTGGTTAGCTTTGTACTGGCTGGGTATGACACTTTAAGTAAATCTGATGATTAAGTCAAATGATGCACAAAAAGAATTCCATGTACCAAAAATTAAACATGCATAATGATCTCAAAAATCTCAGAGTAAGACATTCTCGGGGGGGAAAAAAATTCTTGGGCTTGGTGATGCGCCCCTATAATCCTGGCTCCTCAGGAGGCTGAGTTAGTTAGGAGGATTGTAAGTTTGAAGCCAGCCTCAGCAACGTAGAGGGACCCTGTGTCAATATAAAAACTAAAGAGGACTGGGGACTCAGTGATAGAGCACTCCAAGTTCAATCTCCAATATGGCCAAAAAAGAAAATTCTTTGAAGAAAAACTAAGTAATGATGCTTACAAAAAATAGATTACTCGGGCTGGGGTTGTGGCTCAGTGGTTAGAGCACTTGCCTAGCACATGAGCAGTACTGGGTTCCATCCTCAGCACCACATAAAAATAAATAAATGAAATAAAAATATTGTGTCCATCTTCAACTAAAAATTTTTTTAAATAGATTATTGATTTTAAAATAACTTGTAAAAATGTCTTGACTTTCATTTCACTCTCCCTACCATAGAAAACACTAGAAAAATATTTCAGTTGCAACTCTATTATCCCACCTATGAAAAAAACTAAATTTTCAAATCAATTTCTTCTTTATCTACATTAAAAACTGCAATGTAATTTTTTTATGTGTGTTTGGTGCTAGGAATTCAATACTGGGCAAGTCCTTTACTACTGAGATATATCCCCGGCTCCTACATTATCATTTTTAAAATAAATTACAGGAGCTGGCAATGTAGCTCAGTGG